ACAGCATACTCTGACACTGTCATAGTAATCTAGCGCAGCTGCTCAAACTTCGTGCGCCATGCATCCCTAAGGGTCTGAGGAACAAACTCTCTCAAGAATAACTCTAAAAATCTAGTCCATGTAGGTGAAGCTGCATCGGCGGGGCTACGCTCCTTTTACACTCACCACCACTGATACACTGCTCCCGACAGCTGGAATATAGTAAAATCAAGCCCACTCGTCTCCACAATACCCATGGTGCGGAGAATACGGTGGCACTCCTCTAGAAAATCATGTGCATCCTTTGAAAACAAACCACTAAAAGTAGGAGGGTGATACTTTCTGAACCTCTTAAGCCTAAGCTGCTCCTCCTCGAATGTTGTTGCCCCAACCGCAGGCTAAATCGGAACAACAGGTTGTACTAGTATAACCTCTGGAACCTGATCAACCTGGACCCGCTGCTCTGCGGTACGGGCCGCGGGAGTCTGAGCTCCACCCCCAGCCTGAGATATGGCTGGTGCAAGTGGAATCAACCCCGCCTGAGCTAAGGTATCGAACATGCTCAAGAACTGTGCGAGGGTCTCCTAAAGTACAATGGTGGCAACAGGCGCCTCGGGTGTCTGCCCCCTAACTAGAGCTACTAGTGACTCCTCTATCGCATCTTGGGCAGGTGCTATGGCTGCACCTCGTGCCCCTCTTTGGCCTCTACCCCGTACCCGGCCTCTCGCAGCTCTAGCAGGGGGTGCGGGTTTCTGATCGTCGGATCCAGCAGTGCGTGTCCTCACCATCTATGAGAGAATAGAAAGTTAAAATTTAGTTTTTTTTTAAAGTCAACCAATTCGCACAATATGGAATCAAAGAAGTGAAGTTTTCCTAACAGTTCTGTAGCCTCTCGAAGATAAGTACAGACGTCTGACTCTACTAAACCTGCTTATGACTCGTAACACCTATGAACCTAGAGCTCTGATACCAACTTGTTATGACCCCAATTTCCCTCCATAAGATGTCGTGATGGCACCTACTGTCTACGACTAGGTAAGCCTAACATTTAACAATAACCTGACATAAATAATTAACAAAATACTAAAACAAGTATGATACATTGATATAATCTCCTGAAATAGAATCTCAACAATACACTCCCCAAAACCGGTGGAACTGAGTCATAAGCTCTACATAGTAAGCTAAAATGTCCACTACATCACTGTCTAAATGAAAATACAATAGGAAGTAATGATAAAGGAAGGTGACTATGAGGCCTGCGGATACCGAGCAGGCATACCTTGAAATCTCCGTAAAATAGCTAACAGACGATCACTAACGTCCGACACGAGCAAATGTACCTGGATCTGCACAAAAAGATGTGCAGAAGCGTAGTATGAATACACCACAACAGTACCTAGTAAGTATCAAGCCTAACCTCGGTAGAGTAGTGACGAGGCCAGGTCAAGATACCTACTAGGATATAAATAAATAGTACGAAATATAATAAGGATAAATGATGGAAGGCGGAGAAATAACTGATACGAAACAAGTTAATACCATGAACTAACATCAGAATAGTAAGCATGGAAATAACATAAAGAAATCAATCAAAGAGAACCATAATGATCGTATACGAACAATGACTGATAGAACAAGGAAGAACAAAACAACAAGAAGTGTTCTCACCCAAAAACTCTTTGCAACAAGATTAAACAACAAGAATCACAATGAGGTACCACTTTGCATACAATAAGAATCACCACCGAGGTACCGCCTCGTGTACATATCAAGAATCACAACCGTGGTACCGCCTCGTATTCACAATTTACAATTTCAATCACAATCTTTCCTTATACCGCCGCGTGAGCCTTACATTTAAATTAGATTTGAAAATATTTTTGCCCGAAATAGCTACATGCAATTTAGCCCACCTTATGACGTTGTGTGGCTTCATGTAGTTCCCCTAGAAGCAACACGCACATAAGTCTCACCTTATGCTGCCGCATGCACATTAACCCCTAGCCTTATATCGCCGCATGCGCGTCAATATCACATTACAACAACGACTCGCACCACAAGTGCCCATATGTCATAACTTATCAACAATCACAATATCAATGTTTTCACAACAATAGCTCATGGCTCCACCACAACGTGTACAAGAATATCAACAATAACAATAAATGTAAAATTCTTAACAAGAAAGGCATCTCAACAATTGGCAACTTCGCCTCAAAGTGATACGGCTTTCACAATCTCAATACCAATAACTCAACAATGAGAAAAAATAATGTGTAACCACGAACTAAATACAAATAATTCACAACGGGAGAGATACCATGACTTCAAATAAGAATAATATCAATGAAAGAGATAACTTGTAACAATGACTTCAAATAATGATAATCAACAATGAAAGAGATAACATGTACAATGACTTCAAATAATGATAATCAACAATGAAAGAGATAACATGTACAATGACTTCAAATAATGATAATCAACAATGAAAGAGATAACATGTACAATGACTTCAAATAATGATAATCAATAATGAAAGAGATAACATGTAACAATAAAAGGGGCAACGAGTTTAAATAAAGCATGAGAGCAATTTATCAAGTAGGATATAGAACAAGTATTAAACAAGTCATTTAAAGCATGTAAAGATAGACTAATACAAGTAAGAATATATTGACTATGAGAATTTAGAACATGATATGACATTTCAATTAAAGCATGAAAAGAGTCTAAGTAGCCTAAACCGGTCAAATACCACATACGACCCATGTACCCACTCGTCACCTTGCGTACACGACTTTCACATAGCACAAGGACATAATTAATCCCAAATCCTAAGGGGTAATTTTTTCCACATAAAGTTAGGCGAGATACTTACCTCAAAAAAGCTAACTCAATCCACTAGTAAGCTTTTTCCACGAATTTCCAACTCCGAACGGATCGTATCTAGCCAAAATAACTTTATACCATAAATACAAACCATAGGAAACTATTCTAGATAATAAAATTATAATTTTTAAAGAAAATCAAAAAGTCAACCCCAGGCTTGCATCTTGGAACCCGACCAAACTTACAAAATTCGAACACTCATTCAATAACGAGTCAAACTATACAAAAATTATTCAATTCCGACCTCAAATGGACCTTCAAATCCTCAAAATAAAGCTTATGAAGTTTTTCACAAATTATCCCAATTTTTTCAACTCAAAACACTAATTAAGTGATAAAAATAATGATGGTTTCATGAATAATAAGCAAATCCAAGTAAAAAACACTTACCATGATCAACTCCTTGAAAATCTCACTCAAAATTGACCAAAATCGAGCTCTCTAACTCAAAGGGTGAAAAATAACTCTAACTCTCGATCTTCTCCTTTTTCTGGCCAGGCATTCCACACCTCCGGCCTTCCAGTTTCCATTGCAACCCTGCACCTGCGGAATAATCCATCACAGTTGCGGCCTCAACTAAGCCCAGCAAATTCTGCTTCTGCGGCCCACAACGCGCACCGATGCTCTCGCTTCTGCGGACACCCACGCGCTTCTGCACGTCCGCTTTTGCGGAAAATGATGCGGTCCTAAACCAACATACCAAACTCCGATCTGTAAAAGAAATCCGCATCTGTGGTTGTGCACCTGCGCAAAGATCCTCCGTACCTGCGGACCCAGCTCCCCAGCCCAAATCTCGCATCTGAGGCCAATGAGCCGCTCCTGTCGCTTTTGCCACACCTGCAGCCTAAATTGCGCAGGTGCGAATGCACCACACTTCAGCAGGCATAAAAATCTTCCAAGTCGCCAAATGAATCTGATTCAACCTGAAACACATCTGGGGCCCCGGGACCCCGTCCAAACATGCCATCAAGTTCCAAAACACATAACGAACCTATTCGAGGCCAAAAATCACATCAAACAACATCGATTCTACTAATCGCAACTCAATTCAAACCTATTGAAACCATGAACATCCAACTTCCAAAACTAACGGCGATTTATACCAAACCAACTCTGATTGACCTCAAATTTTGCACACAAGTCAACAGACCTATTCCAACTTTCGGAATCCGGCCTCAATATCAATAAAGTCAACTCTCGGTCGAACTTCTAAACCTTCAACTTTCTAACTTTCGCCAATTCAAGCCAAAACGACCTACGGACCTCCAGATCAATATCCGAACACGCTTACCGGAAACGTCAAAATCCATTTCGGAGTCGTCTACACAAAAGTCAAATTTCAATCAACTCTTTCAACTTAAGCTTCCAACTTTGGAATTAAGTGTCCCAATTCACTCCGAAACTCACCTGAAACCAAACCAAACATCACGGCAAGTCACATAACTACAGTATAACATAGAGGAGGCAATAAATAGGGGAACGAGGTTAAAATACTCAACCGGACGGGTCGTTACAAAAAAAAAAAGACCAAACAAGCCAAACTTGACAAATTGTGTGATTCCTCTCCAAACATCAACTTCATCTCAACATGCTTCTAGAGAAGAGAAGTACGGCAAGACTAATGATGCGCCAAAGTATGGGACGCAGAGCATTTTTGCATATTGTTACATTACAGAATGCGTTTGCAGAAGACCAAAATTTTGGTTGCTAATTTTGAAGTTCATTGATGTTCGTTATTTCCCGAAAATTTAGTAAACAAGAATCAACTCTCGCTCTATCATGCTCTCTTTGAAGTAAGATCAGTGCCTTTACCTGATATGCTCTCTTCAAAGAATTCCGATCCTGATGGTTTATTCCTGCTATTCCATCATTTTACTTCAAAATTTTATATATAGTATTATGTTTCAATTCTCACAATAATGATTTTGCTTAAACCTAAACAGAAGAATTACATAATGAAAATGTTGAGCTAAGTCGGCCCAAAGATAATGTATATTGCCGCTTTGGGCCAAAACAACACGGTTTTCCTCAAAAAGCCCCACACCATTAAGAGATCCTACACTTTATTTTAGGTTCTAAATCTTCTCAGCTACGAATATGGGATTTCGTTCAGCTACCAATCAAGCTAATATCAAGCTCCAATACAACAAGAAGTAACACCAAATACAACACTGAATTGCATATTTGGAAGTCTTCAGAAGGTACCAAAAAATATTACAGAAGACACAAGCGACACAACCAACAACGCCTCAATCTCAAGCAAATTGGGCCGGCTATATGAATCACCACTTTCTACGTCGCTTCATTTAAGCCCTTCAGTCCAATAACAATAAAAATGACAACTAAAAACTATCCTGTTCATTTGATACATTTCTCATCAGAACTCTAGGCTCTTTGCAGCTAAATCAAACAATTGTTCCAGCTCCTGTTTTACTTTGTCACCAGCAAAAATAAAATTAATGGCATTCCTAGCTAGCTGGAACATCTCTCTCTTTTGTATACCTTTAAAATGTAAAACAAAAGTTAGAGAGAGCTTAATCTAAAAGCCGACTAGGTATATTGGCAGTAAATAATACATACCAAAAGCAGAAGAAGCAAGGCTGTATTCGCCAGATACGCTGGTAGAGAACACCCCTGAATCGTCAGTGCATAGGACAATTGGATGTCCACTATTATATAAATCAGCTGTGCAAGTCAAAGCTAAGGGTTATGTACTTGATTTAAATAGTTAATATCATAAGTAAAGAAACAACTTTCTCAAAGTTCGTAAGTGATAACAGGACAGTGGACTGAAGGTGTACATTTCTGTTTTTCCTAGATTTAGATACAACACAAAACAGTCTAAAGAGTATCAGAAACCTCACCAAAATGATGAATATCCAGAGAAGATATTGTTTCAGTTCTGATATTTGAAGTCAAGCAAATTTCAACCTACAACGACATAAAACGCCAAATGTGATAAAACTAGAAGGATCAGTAGGCCAAGAGAACTTTAGTCCAACATCAAAATATTGCATGGCCAAAGAAAATTCTGCATCTTGATTATCATGATAGAATTCTAGATGGAAACGTCTAGCAGCATTCTTAGCCTAGAAAATACGCAAGGCTATAAAAGGAGGAGAAACTGACCAAGCATACATTCCATTCTAGAAAAGAGAAGGACATTTGGTTAAGTAATTTAGCTCAATCATTGATATGTATGACTCTATTGTATCAAAAGATAAATGTCCTAGAGAAATCTGATAATACGCATGCAATATTACTAACCGGTATCTTTAAAGATTTTAGCTTTGCCCATTCTTCCTCTCCAAAGCAACAAGCATGGCCAATTCTTGCAGGGAGAAAATCTAGCATCGCGTGGATTTCCACCGGATTGGGTACCTAAAGAGAGATGGCAGTGTGACACTGAGAAAAGACAGAAAAACTACTGAAGTCAGATGCACCTCGCCACAATGAAGGGTGATCAGAAGTCCTTGCTCTTTAGCAAACTCCAAAGCGGGCAGAAAGGTTAGCCTACAAAGAAAAACGTATCTAGAAATTCAAACCTTTATAGGCTATATCGTCAATGCAAGGCAAGATTAGTATGCAATAGAAAATCTTTTCCGAGCAAAATAGTACCATTCACCAATGATAGGATTTCCGGATAGGTCAATACCCACTACCCCCAGATGTCTCATTTCCAGAGCAAGCTTAACCTTCACCAACCACAAAGAACTTATCAAGCCTAGCACTTTAAGCAACATATATAAACCTATAGCGTCTTTATACATCAGATACAAAAACATACCGTTTCCATTGCAGCTTCAGTGGATTCACGACGATCAATACTAAGTAGAAGTCTGACAAATATTTTCTTTCTTCCTGTACCATTGCTAGCATTACCCTCACTCCGAGCATAAATACCGCCATTAGCTTGACAATCAATATTAGGTTCACTGAAAAAATCAACTTCGATGGTAGTAACAGCTCTTAAACCCTCCAAAACTGCTTCTATGTATGACCTCTTGTTCATCCCTTTGGAAACATTCTTCTGCAGAAAAGACATATATATAAAATAAGATCTACAAATATCAGAATTGTATCAAATGAATGAGCTTGAACAGTAATATGTGAAGAAGCCTTTTGGAGTTGTGAACTAATTTCCTTAAAAAGTAGGAACAGGATACACAGGATCAAATATGTAAAGATGCATTTGCATCCATATTTCCTGTTTATATATCCTTTTACCACATAGTTATTTCCAGAAACTAGTGGTAATGAGCTAAATGAAGCTAACAGCAAAACGCCATGTCAATCATCTAGTTCACTTAATTCAACCGTGTTATGCTTGCTATTATAATTTCATTTTTCAAATGCCAGGCACACTCCAGCTGACAGCTGACTTGTCACAATCGTCCCAATTAATTCACTATGACTAAACAACAACAACAACAACAACAAATACGCCTAAATCCCAAACAAGTTGGAGTCACCTATATGTGTTAGGATCGGAAAACCGGGTAGTGCGGAGTTTAGCCAAACGTTATAATGATAATAACAAAGACAATGCAAGTTGATAATAACGTCAATTAAAGAAGATAAAGAAGACACAAATTTAACGTGATTCGGTCAAGGTGACCTACGTCCACAAGCGGAGAGAATCGATTTTACTATACCAACAAGAGTACAAAAGAGAGTACAAAATTAAAGTAAATACTCTAATTACCAAATACCCCAAGAGAATAACCTCACAAAATCACTCCAAAGAAAGGTTTCACACAAGTATTTCTCAACACCCACTCTCTTGCAAAATACTCTATAATGAAATAAAGGAGGAGAAAGAAAGACAAGAGTGAAAAACTCTTGAATTGGTGTGTTTGCAAATGAGAAGAAGCTCCTCTATTTATAGCATGAAATCCTTGGCCTAATAGTGGATATTATGTCATGGCAAAATGTCATGATCTACAAATTTTGTTATAATAGATATTATGTCATGGCAAATGTCAAGAAAATTTGGTCATATTACAAATCTCCACCTTTGCCTAATTTCGGCTTATATATAGTAACTTTGCTCCACCTTCTCCGCAAAAACCCCAATGGGCAAAATCATTCTTCATAAATGTCAATCAAGTTCAGGCAAAGTTTGAACTTAGACACTGGAAGAGGTTTTGTGAACATGTCAGCAGGATTGTCTCTAGTGTTGATCTTCGAAACAGGGACTTTTCCTTCAGCAATGGTTTCTCGGATGAAATGATACTTTATATCAATGTGATTCATCCTCTCATGATACATTTGATCTTTAGTCAAGTGAATGGCACTTTGACTATCACAGAAAATGGTAATACCACCTTGGTGTAAACTGAGTTCCGCAAATAGACCCTTTAACCATAAAGTTTCTTTGATCGCCTCGGTCACTGCCATATATTCTGCTTCGGTAGTAGATAAAGCTACTACATGTTGTAATGTAGCTTTCTAACTAATAGCGCAACCACCAATGCAAAATACATAGCCTGTCAGTGATCTTATTTTGTCAAGATCACCTGCATAATCTGAGTCTATAAAACCAACCAAAGTGTTAGTATTTCTCCCAAATTCCAAACATGTGTTTGAAGTACCTCGCAAGTATCTGAGAATCCATTTCACAGCATGCCAATGTACTTTACCAGGGCAAGCCATATGTCGGCTTATCACGCTCACTGCTTGTGAAATGTCTGGACGTGTACAAACCATTGCATACATAATACTGCCGACTGCACTGGAATAAGGAACTTGTGACATGTACCTCTCTTTTTCCTCTGACTGTTGGGACTGAGCAGCTGATAACTTAAAATGAACAGCAAGAGGGGTACTAACTGGTTTAACATCTTTCATGCCAAACCTCTCCAAGACTTTCTCCA